GGGACAGCTCCCCCTCAAGGCCCGTACCACCCCCACTACTGCAAACCGCAGTTTTAAAAAAACCAGCAATTCGCAGCGTGATCACTTCTGTTCAGAAACAGCACAATATTTATTTAACATCTTTATATATTTTTATATATATATAATTTTTTTTTCTGCATTGCAGAGTGTGTCAAGTTTTATACATCTCTATTTACATTGATTTAAAATAATTATATTTCTTCTCTGGCAGGTATTTACAAAGTCAATAGTAACTACATTTCACATTTCAACAAGTCAACAGCATGAACCAGCTCAGTAAGACAGTTAAGATAATGGCTTACATGCACCAATAACATGATCTTCAATACGTGCCTTCTTCAGGACTAAGAATGAAGATTTTCCTTGGTCCCAGGTTAAAGGACATCATACAGCAGAGGTCACGGTTATTAAAAACCTGTTTGGTTTAGTCTTTCACCAGTACCGAATCTTGAATGTCTGGGGTTCATACCAGCACGCAGGGATATCCTGGTGAAGAGGGGCTCACACTACCAATCCATGTCCTTTGCCTTGCCTATCTGTCCACCAGAAGTGGGCTACGTGCTGCTTATGCTCCTTCTATGAGATTACAGAACGCTAAAGTAGTAAAAATCCTCAGAAACCCTAGTTCAGAGAAACAAACCTAGTATGACAGAAAAAAGTATGAAAATAATCTTTTAACCCCTGCAGAATGTTTCTTTTTGCTAGTAAAACTGACAGCAAATTCTGTATTCTTACAAGGGCAAAAACAGATCAAAAGATTCATTGTCAAGTACAGGAATTACAAATTTAAAAAATGCAGCATGGGGTACCTCAATTAAGTTGTTGGGGTTTTTTAATAGCAAATAAAAGCTACCGTAGTAAATCTAAAATGTATTAAGAGTAGCTGATTTAATTATTAAAAATCTTTATTAGCTTTTTCCTGGAATCTTCGATATGAAAAAAATGTTAAATGACTCAGTTTTAATTATATGGTATTTGTCCATAAATAACCAGCTAGTAATATCCATCCCTAAAGTATGCGCTATCTGCAAGAAAACAGTAACAAAGTAATCATTGTTATTATTATTAACACAATCAAACTGCCTTTTTTTCAAAGTAATCATTGAACACTGACACACTGACACACACAGACACACCCCAGTACTAGGAATCTATTAATACTTTGACATGTTGGTTTATCCTGAGTGATTGTTAACTCACATCTACTGTATACTTGAAGCCACAAAGTTTTTACTACTTGCATTTTTCATAAACTAATAACATGAAAGTCTAGCACAACAATAACTGCCTGAACAGAAAGAACAGTGTCAATAGCCAGTATTTCTGTCACTCCCAACTACTTGTTTCAGAACAAAAGGTAAAAGGTTGCTTCACACACACTGGTTTTTTCTGTTTGTGATCAGTTCTGGGGAGGGTGAGGACTCAAACACATAGGATTCACTACTGATTTGTAAGGAAGTTTCCATGACAAAGCACCATAGAGACACTTTACCAGGAGATACTCATAAACAGAAATCTTCCCTGACCATTTTACCCACAAAAATCAAAACCTGTGTGAATTCTAAACCACATTTTAACAATCATCTGTTCAAGACTCAAAATTTAAAATGCTTAAAAAAAGTTGTATCAGAATGCAAAGACAGTTTTCTCTAAAACTGCTTACATCTTACCAACTGTAAAACACTAGGAGCTCACAACCAAGTAACTGGTCAATAAAACCTGATCTCACCACTTTGCTCATCATGCATAAGCTAAAATGTAGGGCAACGTTTTACTGTACAAAATTTTAATATACATCTGTTCCCATCAACAGCTCCTCGCAGGAATAGCTTACTAATCCTTTATGATAGAAGGGATAATTTATGGACCCATTTTAAATTCATTTGGTTCCTCAGATACTACCTTTGGTAAAATCTGATGAACACAGTTAAAAAAAAATCAGGGAGAGGTGTAGCCTAGAGAAAAATAAATAAAAGAATGGAAACAAATTTTTTTTTTTCATTAAATCTTGAATACAGACAAATAACATGGGACAGAATTTTACTAAATCCTTTTCTTGAAGTTGTAAGGTACTCAGTCTTCTTCAACTTGCTTCTAAACTTCTAATGTCACAGGCCTTGACACCTGACAAACTTACTAGGCAAGTTTATCTGAAATGGCTGTTACATTTTAAAAAATCTTGTTCCGAGATTTATTTTAAATAAAATTTCATAATGACTATGTGGAAAACCTCATATGTATCAGTCTTGCAAAATCCACTTACTGCTGTTTTCAGGAACAAGCCACGTTGCTCACAGCTCACCATCATCTTCTATCACTGTGGAAGGAGCAAGTATTTTGGCTCTTCAATTGGTAAAGACATGCGAATTTTGACAGACTGATACATTTATTTGCTAACACAACACCCATGTCATGATCTGTTACCCTGAGTCACCTACAGAAAAGCTTTCTACAGCAAGTTTATCCAAGTGCCAGGGGGGAAAAAACTCTAAAAAATAGTCCAGAGAGATTAAGGCCCATATGCTAGAAACAAAACGCATTTAAAATACTGAAAAGAATATAAAATATTGAAAAAAAATTATATAAACCAAGAATGCAATGCAAGTATAGAGGATCTGTCTTCTTTGCTTACCATGCTTGAAAAGGAGTGGTACTTTGCAATTTTAGCCCTGTAATTATCTTAAACAAGAAACTGAAATAAAAGGGCCATGTGTACTCTTCTGATGGACATTATAAGTGGTTGTCATAAATGAGACCTAGCTAGTGGCTTTAATGCTATATTACACATGCCAAGGTAGCATTATCTTTGGCAATGAGAGAATTTCAGAATTTAAGGATGATATTATTAGATCTACTAATATTAGAAGTATTGTTTTTGTGTGTAGTACATACATTTAATTCAAACATATTCCATTATATTTTCCATACCTCCTCCAGGATTATAAGCACAGTACCTACACTGTACAGCTTGGTTTTTATGATTTTCTTCAAAAAGTTATTCTTGATTCTCTCTTAGTCTTCAAATTAATTTAAATTTGTAAGCCAAGATAAACAACAATTTCTGGTTTGTGACTGAAGTTAAAATGCTGAACACTTAAGAAAGATAGTCATTGGTTCATGATAAAATAGGACAAGTTCAAACTCTTAGGTTAAAATACAGCCAAAGCATAGGATTATTTATTCCAAAATTAATTTTTCAAAATATAATTCTCTGAACATGTTGTACATTAAATATTGAGGAAAATTTCCCTGGAGCTAAAATTTTCCCAGAACACTAATAATCTTCATTCAAGAAGTAAAACAAACCACACAGTATCTGAAGACAAAAAGCAGTTAGAGTTGGGGTCACCCTACTACAGAGTAGCTTTACCACCACTAAGATGCAGGTTTCCCCCTTAATCTTGAAAAATATGTTCCTATTTACATACAGTATACACACAGTTGAGGCAATTGATTGTCAACACGTGACAAATGTATGTACCTACTCACACACAAGTAAACCTCACATGGTGAGAAAAAACCCTGTCCCAGTAAACTCCAGTATTCATAATAGTGCAAATAAATACTTTGTCAGAAAACATTTTTTCCTCACTATTTTGATGACTGTAGATATGTTAAAGCTAGCAGGAGTACGCTGGAAATGTTGTATTTAAGACCAACACAAATAGTCGTATTGTGAACTACAAATACTAGATCTAATGCTTAGTGGATGCAACATGATGTTCAGCATTACAGAATGAAGTATGCTGTTAAAAAGCTTCTCCAAATTCACATCAGAAAGAGTGTTCAAAGAAATCTGCATTTAAAATGGACAGTGATATGGAAGTTTCCAATTGAAAACCATTTAGGAATTGAAAGCAATTTAAACTGTCATCTTGCAACATTCATTTTAATAGGTATTTTTACTTCATCACTTTGCTGTCTGCAGGATAAAAGAACGGTTCATCTTTCAAACAAAAAGCTGCTCACAATAACACTTGAAAAGGATAATCAAGCTGGAGTTCACAATACCAATATTCTGTATTTTCTTAAAATTACAAAAGCCAACAAAAATGAGTTGCAAAATGGCAGCATATTGTGATATGTATCAAAGAATATTTAATTTTTTCCTACTTAAGTGTATATATACACATCAGAAAACAGTATCCACACTTCCTCACCTAAGAATTATATGTATGTGCATGCATGCACACATATAGGGGGGGGGGGAAATTTTAAAAAATCAGTGTTCTGCTTCTTGTCCTTCTTTTATAATGCTGCAGTTGCACTGAAATATTG